GACCACTGGTTTGAAAGAGGGGTCAAAGAGGCCATCTGTGTCAAAATTGAACAGACCTCTCTCAACAGAGAGGGAGCGATATGACATCATCTATCTCCAGTCTACAACACAGTCCTTTCAACAGTTCCAAGAAGGCTCCACACACATTTGCACTACTCAAGTGATCCTGAAGACACAGATAAGCCTCCAGGTAGCATTAATGATTCATTAAAAGAATGCAAATGAACAGCTATCTGCAAGGAGCATAAATCTTTTCATTCCCCACCATCCAGTCAGAGCTGAAGAAACTTTTTGGATGAGAAGCGAAACATCTTCAAAGAAAAACAAGTCCAGTTGCCTTGTGAAAAAGCTTCTTTGGGTTAAGCATGGATAAGTCATCCAATAAACTCATGGACTTAGATCTCTTGTGTGTGTGAAGAAACTCGAGACTAATGACGCATTAGTCGGGTTCAACCTGGTCATCTCCTACAAGAATCTTGCAAATCTGAATGTGTTTTCTCCACAACCATTCCTTCTGTGGGCTGAGATGTCTCTTATCTAACAGTTGCCCGGGCTGCACCTCTTCCTTCTCCTGTCCCTCAAGGATATTCTCACATGCCCAGATAGCTTTTGCTATATTGTCTGTAGGAAGTAGGTGAGGATAGTGAAAAAAACAAGTCTCTGCAAATTTGTGGGACAAATTCTAAGATTATCTTAGGACTGCGGTGGGGAGGGTGTATCAACCGGTCAGGATTTTTAAACTTTTAATTTCTCTTTAGTGATGGGCAGCAGTTTGGGTTTGGTTAGTTGGTTTCTCCCATACTAACCACCTTAACCTATTGTAGGGGTCATATTACAGGGGTCCCTATGTTTCCCTACTTAAAAAGGGGTCCTTATAGATCCCCTGGACTTTAGCTGTCCACTTTTATTATATGGCAGTTTCTGGATGGGGGTATAGATCTAGTGGGAAGTGCAATGAGCTTTCACTTGAGTGCATTTCGTTAACCTGGGTTCCAGCTTTTTCCTACTGCAAAGACATAATTTAATTGTCATGGTTCCAACTGATGGAACCAAATAAATCAGAACTCTTAGGCATGAGGTTCCTTCAAAGAACATATTTATTGGATACATGATGTCGGCACGGTCAAAAGTGAAACCAAGTCTAAAATCCCCACCAAAGTTTCAGAGTAATTCAATGCAACAGTTCCCACCCTCCTATTCAGCCATAAATGACATTCTCCAATAGAAGGACTTGCCGGGCTTTCTGGCAGGACATCCCTCTTTCTCCATTACGGTGTGGGAATGACCTTGGTTCCCAGGGGATCCATTCATGTTTAGACTAGCAAAGATACCTCATTCCCCCTCCCCCTCTTGTGGCAACCTAGAACGACAAAGATGGATGCAGCCAGGTTCGTTGTAGAGTTGGCATTAATTACCATGATGGAATGTAACGAGGAGGTGGTTTCCCTGAAGGGAGGGAGTGCATTTCAGAGGAATAAGAGACAACTCAGCCCACATATCATGTGTGAGAAAAAGAGGGTGAAGACAGCCCTTGCCTAATAGTTCTCAAAGTATATTCAAGATGGAGATAGCAGAGTGCTTAGTTTGGCAAGATTTTGTCTATATGTGTGAAACAATAAAGAACCCAGCTTGGAAGAACTGCCACATGTCATTTTTGGTTTTCTTGCTTCATTATCATAGCAGGAAGGAGGCAGGATGTGGAAAGGTGTCAACCTCTAGGTGATACCCTGGATTGATCAGCAAGTAAAGCTCAATTCAGTTCGCACAAGGCTCTGAGCCACCATCTGTGAATGCCCACATATCCTGCCTTGATAATAGCAGAGTTCAAAAGTTTACAGACCTGTTCAGTACTCCTTCACGTCTGACCTTCAAATTGCTTCTGGAGCATAATCCACATATTCTCCTTGCATTGATGGTTGGCAGGACAAATTGTAAGAGGTGCACCTTATGGACATATTTATCTGCAAAGATGAATTTTCGTTCTTTGTTAAAAGCACTAAGCCATCCTTTCCCCTGTTCTAACCTGAAATGTGCAAAGTCTTTTATTTTTTGGGCATAGCAAAAGACGAAATCCAGGATTTCTCCTATGTCGGACTGTACACGCTTGGTTGCTTTTACGATAAAAAAAAATCATCTTGGGACATGTCATGGAACTTGGGCTGTGGTTATTTTGGCCTGGCTGAGAGAGATTAAGGTTTAAGTTTCACGTTCCAAGGAAAAATATCGTAAAGAAAATATAATTACTTTTGAAGCAAGCAATTTGCCTTGGACCAGTTCCAGCAGACCTAACCGTATGTGTCTGATTTATTTTATTATTTATCGGAATCCTTAATGAAACCCATCCTGAGGGCATGGGCTTACTCTCCTAAAACTAACATTCCAATAAAAACCAAGAAAATAAAACAGATACCCAGTTCAAACATAAAATACTAAAATAACACATACTGCATTAAAATCCAAGTATCATGTACTGGCACATTCATCCCACTTGAAAACCCTAGAAATGAACTTACTTTTAAGAATATGGAACTCAGCTGAGTGTAGGTGGCCTAATTCATTTTAAAGGGAGAAAAGAAGAAATAGATGTACCACATATCTCCTTCAAATGTACAAGGAGACCAAAGCTTGACCAAGATATTTAATCAGAAAAGAAGGGCAACCCTAAATATATGTTAAAAAATAAAAATAGTTGGATTGGAATTCAAGATTTACCATCACAGTAGCAATAATGTCCTTTACCATTCCTGAAAACGATGGATTAATGATTTCATTTTTAGTACAGGTAGTCCTCTACTTACGACCACAATTGACCCCAAAATTTCTGTTGCTAAGCGAGACAGTTGTGAAGTGAGTTTTGACCCATTTGACAACCTTTTTTGCCACAGTCATTAAGTGAATCACTGCAGTTACGCTTGTAACATAGTTGTTAAATGAATCTGACTTCCCTATTGGCTTTGCATGTCAGAAGGTCACGTGAAGTGATCACATGAGTCAGTTGCCAAATTTTGATCATGTGACCACGGGGATGCTGCAAGGGTCATAAGTATGAAAAATGGTCATAAGTCACTCTTTTCGGTGCCATTGTCACTAAATGAATGGTTAGAAGTCAGGGACTACCTGTATTATAAATGCCTCGTATTTATGGTTATAATTCCCCAACCGGGTTGCTAATGTTGCTACAGCTCATATTGGCTGTTTTTGTTGTGCTTTTAAAATGTATTTATTATGTAATTTGAGGGCTAATCCACATGGAGCTCCATTTCCATCTGTCCTGTTTGCCATCGTTCGCTCCCTAGAGCAGGGGTAGGCCACCTCGGCTCTTTTATGACTCATGGACTTCAACTCCCAGAATTCCTGAGTCAGCATAACTGACTCAGGAATTCTGGGAGTTGAAGTCCATGAGTCATAAAAGAGCCCAGGTGGCCTACCCATGCTCTAGGGACTAAAATGGACGATCTGAAACTTGAGCTGGCCACGGACAAGGAGTGTATATTGGAGGTGCTGACCCTTTGAGAGCTGTATGCAACGAAATTTCATTTTGATGTATGTGGATTGGTGTACATTCAAAGTGACAATACAGTTGTTGTTGTTGTTGTTGTTGTTGTAATTGAATGCTGCCAAGAGAAAGTAATTTGGAGTAGTGGTTAAAGGCCAGAAATCAGGAGATTGTGAGTTACGGTCCTGGCTTAGGCACAAAGCTAGTTAGATGACCTCGGGCCAATCTCTCTCTCTTGGCCCTAAGAATGAGCTGTGTCAAACTACTGACAAATAAAAAAAAAATTGCCAAGAAAATTGCATGGACTTGTCTATGTAATCACCAGGAGTCAACTGAAGGCAATATATTTTTTAAAAGTTTGTTTAGAGTTCTCATGGTGATAGAGGCTGCTTGTTAATTTCAATACACTTTAAAGCTGATGTCTCAAATAATAGCAATTTGTTTATTTAAAACATTTACAGACAGGTAAAAAAATTATATACTTTCAACTGTTCGTTTAGTGATCTTTCGAAGTTACAATGGCATTTGAAAAAAGTGACTTATGACCATTGCAGCATCCCCATGGTCACATGATCAAAATTTGGACATTTGGCAACTGGTTCATATTTATGTTGATTACTGTTTTCCGGGATCATGTGATCATCTTTTGCAACCTTCTGACAAGCAAAGTCAATGAGGAAGCTAGATTCACTTAACAACTATGTTACTAACTTGACAACTGCAGTGACTCACTTAACGACTGTGGCAAGAAAGGTCGTCAAATGGGGCAAAACTCACTTAACAACTGTTTCACTTAGCAACAGAAATTTTGTGCTCGGTCGCGGTCATAAGTCAAGGACTATCTGGAGTTGCCTATCATGCAACCAACTCTGGGCAACTCCAAATCAAAAGTTAAAACAACATATAAAACTTAAAACTACATATAAAGCTATTGGTCAAGGGCCTGAGGAGACCATGTGAAAAAATGATTACAAGTAGCTAGGTCTAGCAAACAAGTGATTTTCCTAAGTTTCTAATTGTGTATAAATTTGTGGTGGAAAGTACCACATATTAATTGTTGTTAAGAGTAAAAATACAAGTACAAAAGTACAAGTAGATAACAGGGTTGATCTGAAGCTTTTACTCTCTACGGTGCTTCTCTTTCTAGAAGTGAGCTGGAAGGATAGGATGGGATGGGATGGGATGGGATGGGATGGGATGGGATGGGATGGGATGGGATGGGATAGGATAGGATAGGATAGGATAGGATAGGATAGGATAGGACAGAACAGAAATAGACTAGACTAGACTACACTAGACTAGACTAGAACAGAACAGAACAGAATAGAATTCTTTATTGGCCAAGTGTGATTGGACACACAAAGAATTTGTCTCTGGTGCATAAGCTCTCAGTGTACATAAAAGTAACAAGTGATAAATCATGATTATATAATCATCAAATACATTCATCATAAATTATAAGATACAACACTCATAGGATAGTCATAGGATACTAAATAAGCAATCAAGGTAAATCATACTAGGATACTAAATAAAACAATACAAGAAACAAAGTTATAATTATAAGAAGATAAGAAACAGGTAATAAAGAAGACAAGAAGGATAACAGTAATACAGCCCTACTAGGTAGTTTGACAGTGTTGTGGGAATTAGTTGTTTAGCAGAGTAATAGCATGTGGGGAAAAACTGTCCTTGTGTTTAGTTGCTTTGGCGTGCAGTGCCCTGTAGCATCATCTTGAGGGAAGAAGTGGAAACAGTTTTATGTCCAGGATGTGAAGGATCTCTAGATATTTTCACAGCCCTCTTTCTGGCTCGTGCAATGGAAGGCAGGAGGAAGGATAGATTTTAGGATGCAGGACAAACTGAATGTTTTTTCCTGTCTACTCCAATGACTTGCTGCCCCCTTCAGATTTCTGTCACCCGAGGCAGCTGCCATGCCCAGCTTGCAGTAGAGCTGACTCTAGCAAGTGAGTGGGAAGGAAATACAGGTCAGTGACAATAAGGTGTTTTCCATCCCCAACTTTACCATGTTCACCAGGAAGGAAGGAAGATTTTATCAATTCACCATGTGATGTCTATCAATCCTAAATTCTTTCTCCCAAGATAGCAGGTAAGTACATCTTTAAAATCGGAACCCTTAAAAGTGCCAGGTGTGATACAGACTCACACTGCACTGCCCTTGACTCTGCACCCCAAAGTGTAGTCTTGACTGCTCAACCCATGAAAAAGTCACCTCTGTTGTGTCTTTAGCCAAACATTAGCAGGACCCGGGAAGCACCAAGGTGCATGAATTGAAGCCTTGGGAGGAAAGATCTTTCAGAAGAAGGCTGATGTTCCTAAATCAGATAAAAATAAAACTAATGAAGGCGAATATACATGTCCCAGGATAATGTTGCAGGATCCAATCTGGGTCGGTCCTCAGCAGGTAAAACCTTTGGTCCCAATGGATCCTGCAAGAATAACATTGAGGATATTTAGTGGAACTGGAAACTTCCAGCGTGAAAATCTCTGGAGCAGCCAAGTGCTACAGTATCCAGAGGGTCTTTATTGTCAAATTAAACCTCCTTTCCTGGAAACTCAGCTTCGTGTTACAATGTTCTACTTTTAAATCTTGACTGTCAGTGAAGAATGCAGTGCATCTTAAATGCTGGATTAATCTGAGGTGAAGGTTTCACCTATGGATACCGCTGCAAATAATTCTGCTAATTTTGATTCTGGAGGATTAACGGCTTTGCTAAATCTTCAGGCCAGGATAGATCAAGAAAGATCAATAAATACTTTCTGTTTTGAATTTTATGGTGATGTTTTGTGATCTTTTGTCCCTCCTTCCTTCCTTCCTTCCTTCCTTCCTTCCTTCCTTCCTTCCTTCCTTCCTTCCTTCCTTCCTTCCTTCCTTCTTTCCTTCCTTCCTTCCTTCCTGAATTTCAAATAAACATTATAATGATGTTGCTTGGATTTCTTCACATGGTCTCTTGTTATGTAACTGCTTTGGATTCTGTATATCTGTAAATAATCATCTTAAAATTAGGCTAATAATACATAAATAATAAAACAAGCATATCTTTTCCATGGAACTCATCTTCTCCCATGGAGCATGATTTTATATATCTGATGTCTGAAAGAAGTAAAAGGAATTCCAGGTCTGGCAGGATGGAGGGGAAAATGAACTTTGTCTAACAAAGCTTGCTGTTACACACCCCTGTCAGGCTAAAATCGAAAACATATGGTGACTAGAGGGAGAATGATGGAGGGAGAAAGATGAGAGCTTTCTTTTTTTAGGCCTTTCGTGTCTTTCTGAAAATGTCAACAGACAGCAAGAAAAATGTCAAGGAACAACGATATTCTGCGTGCTTGTTTGTGACATATTTACAAAGTCTTGGGAACAAGAAATAGCAAACTGGTGAACTGGAGACTGCTTTCCCTTCCCAATTAAAAATAATCTGAGCTGGCAAGGCTAAACCAACTCACACTGTGTATGACTTTAATACATCCAAGATGTCTCTCTCTCTCTCTTTCTCCCTTTCTCTCCTGCCTCCCTTCTTGCAATGTCAACATCTGGCATAAACTTTTCCATTCAAATTGTCCCTTTCAAAGCCGAACTGACATGGTTGAGAAGAGAAAACCTATTTTCCAAAGCATCTGAAGGCAAGACAAGAAACAACAGATGGAAACTAATCAGGGAGAGGACCCACCTAGAACTAAGGAGAAATATGCTGACAATTAGAACAATTGATCAGTGGAACAACCTCCCTCCAGAAGCTGTGAATGCTCCAACACTGGAAGTTTTTAAGAAGAGATTGGATAACGATTTGAATGAAAGGGTTTCCTACTTGAGCAGTGGGTTGGACTAGACGACCTCCAAGGTTCCTTCCAACTCTTTTACTTCATGTTCTAAGAGTGATAAATCAAAACCCAAAATAACATTTGGATACAGGTAATCCTTGACTTACAAACAGTCACTTAGTGACTATTCAAAGTTACACAAACCTATCCTGGGGCTATATATAACTCAGATTGGATGGTTTTTCACACCCACAGACACACAACCACAGTCATGTGATCAAACTTCACATGCTTGGCAATATATCCATCAAAACATCACCACTGAAACATGTTTCTTTGGTGGGCCTTCCTTGGAGGTTGTAACATTTACGTGGGCCTCCAAATAAATACATTTAAAACTGAGAGGTCAGTTCAGTATTGGAAATAAGGGAGTCCTTCTCTCTTACTTTTGGAGTCATAAAAATTCAATTTGGAGGCTAAAACAGTAGGTTATAGCCACAGTTTAGATCAGGGGTCTTCATACTTGGCCTGTTTATGACTTGTGGACTTCAACTCCCAGAATTCCTCAGCCAGCATACCTGGCTGAGGAATTCTGGGAGTTGAAGTCCACAAGTCATAAACAGGCCAAGTATGAAGGCCCCTGGTTTAGATTCTTGTTAAGTTATTGATTGTTGCATATTGCTGTCAGAATTTGTGTTGCAAGGTGGGTGGTAAATCTTCAATCACAGCATGAGGTCTATATATGTAATATTAGTACATTACATTTGTAATACAAGCATGATAAGTACTAAAAGGAAGAGATGTATAGCTTGCTTATTTTAATAAAAGTTAGAAAATATCCAGAGTTATAACTTCTTAGAAGTGTGGTTACCATAATCCAGGATGTTAATAAAACTTGCCTTATTTCTAATAGAGAATGAAGTGGATATATTTCACCACACCCTAACCAACTTTACTTTTGGAAAACAAAAGCAACTACTGTAAGCATGACCAAGATTATATTTTTACAAAGGAAAATCTTAAAATTCTGGTTGTTGTGCTTGTGTGAACATGCTAGAATTAATAACAAAAGCAAAGTTAGAGCATGAGAAAAAGAAACAACGTGATGTGCACTCTACTTTAAAATTCCTTCACATCTCATAAGATAAACAGCATCATAGTACTGAATTACATTTGCCACCACACGTAACACTCATTCGACACCCACCCTGCCAAATCTATGCCAGTGAAATTGCCTTCTCCCATCTGTGGCTAGTCAGAACAGAAGGAAGAGGACAATAAATGGATATTCCTTTCTTGATAGTTTACAATGATCGCTCTAGAAATGTTTTCTTGTTAGGGCAATTTGTTTTAGAAATTCTGTTTATGGAGCAGGGGTAGAAACTCATAACTTGACTGACTTCTAATTCATAGGAGAATGGAGATATCTTTCAAAGCCAATATTCTTTGTTAACAATCCTGAAATTAGACCCCATAGAACTGGATGATGTACACCAGTGTTTTTCAAACTTGGCAATTTTAAGATGTGTGGATTTTCAACTTCTAGAATTCCCTAGCCGGTATTTTGTGAGTTGAAATCCACATACAGTACCTTAAAATGGATGTGCATTAAGTTGCATTTGTATCAGCTCTTTCTCTAAGAAGCTGAAGGTGGTCCCCTATCCTTTTCTCTACACCATTAAATGCAGAATAGCCTTAAGTAATTTTCACACTAACGATTTATAGCAGTGATGGCGAACCTTTTAGAGACCAAATGCCCCAAAACCGCCCCGCCCGCCTCCACTCTGCCCCTGCCCTGCCCATTTGCAGGGCTACCCACTGCCTCCACGGCCCACCGCGGCAGATCACCCAGGCAGCCTTGTAGCGCCATGGCGGCTACATCCTCCATTTGTGTCCCACAGCATCATCTGCACATGACGGGGTGTGAGGGCGGAGTCTTGTCGCTGCTGCCCAGCTGCCATGTCCTTGGCTACGCTGCTCTGTGCGAGCCGCACCCAGGGGCGACTCTCCTCTGGAAGGGCTGCTGGTGAGGAGGGGGCTGCAGGGGGAGGCGGGGCTGGGGTGATGGCGCACATGCCCACAGAGATGGCTCTGAGTGCCGCCTCTGGCACGCATGCCATAGGTTCGCCACCACTGATTTATAGGGTCTTCACTGCATCCGACCATCACTAAAATGATATAAAGCCTGCCCACATTAATGTTAATTTGGCATAACAATGATTGGGTGACTCAGTCTAGTCCAGTGGTGTCCAACTTTGGCAACGTTAAGATTTGTGGACTTCAGCTCCCAGAATTCATGTTGGCTGACTTGGAAATTCTGGGAATTGAGGTCTACAAATCTTAAAAGTTGTTATGGTAGGACGCCCGTAGTCTAGAAGATATTGTGAACTGCTAGCATGAAATTGAGTTTGATGTGCTATCTGGCACATTATACAGAGAATAACAGAGAACTTTAAATCATGTTTCTTGTTAAACTGGCCACAGACCATTCTTTCTGACTAATATTTAGCCCCCTTTTCTATAGGACTCACGAGTCTTCAATCACAAATTCAAATTCAAATTCAAAATATTTATTACAGTACAATTAAAAATACACAGAAAGTATCTAGTTAAAAGTTCTAGAATAAAATAGTGACAAATAAATAAAATCTAAGTTAATGTCACAATTTAGCAGCCTATTTTTCAGTTGCACATAAACGACTAAGCTATAACGTAATATTAATCCTTAAATTGTAAAAGCTTAGAGTTATTAGGTGCTAAAAATACAAGAGGGTGATAATATCAAAAGATTCGGTGCATTAAATCTTGGCTTCTTTCTGTTATATAAACTGTAGTTCCCAGAATTCTCAGAAACTGTCATGCTGATTGAGACATTTTGGAATTTGTTGTGCACATCTGAAGTGTATTCATGTTTGGGAAGGCTGAACAATTGAAAAACCTCTTCCACGAAACTGCTAAAAGAATGTGGTTGGTTTTATTAAATATTGGAAAGGAAATATTCATAATTTCCAGTAAATCAGAGGATGTCCTTATCCGGCTATATTTATCTACAAGCTGGCTTTTTTCAAAAACTGTAAAATAAGGCCCGTTACACTGCATATTTTTTTTATGCACAAAAGCTTCAAGATAAATGACATATCTTCTTGATTGCTAGCTTCCCCTGGAAACAGAAAACATCAACGTGTTGTAACTCTCCTTGTGGAAAAAGAGAAACCTGTCCCACTTCCTGACCGTGGTTCTTTAGCTCAAGAAATTTTATTCTGGAGACAAGGGAGGACCTCTTCCTAATCCATTTATTTATTTATTTTATTTCACATGGTGTAACATAAGACAGGTGGTCCTCGACTTACGACCACAATTGAGCCCAACATTTATGTTGCTAAATGGGAAATTTGTTGAGTTTTGCCCCACTTTACAACTTTTCTTGCCACATTTTTTTAAGTGAATCACTGTGTTAGTAACACAGTTGTTAAGTCAGGGGTCTTCAAACTGGGCCCTTTTATGACTTGTGGACTTCAACTCCCAGAATTCCTCAGCCTGCGTGCCTGGCTGAGGAATTCTGGGAGTTGAAGTCCACAAGTCATAGAAGGGCCAATTTTGAAGACCCCTGTGTTAAGTGAATCTGGCTTCCCCATTGACTTTGTTTGTCAGAGGGTTCCAAAATGTGATCACATGACTCTGGGACACTGCAACTGTTATAAATATGAACCAGTTGTCAAGTATCTGAATATAAATCACGTGACCACAGGGATGCAACAACAGTCATAAGTGTGAAAAACGTCCATAAGTCACTTTTATCAGTGCTGTGGTAACTTTGAACGGTCACTAAATGAACTGTTGTAAGTCAAGGACTACCTGCACAGCATTAATGCATCTGAAAAGATCTGTTGTTTTATATCCATGCTGCTGCTTCATGCCGGGAGATCCTTGTGAAATCCAGCAGCCGGAGTGGGTAGAAACTATGTAGCCGTGACAAAGTCACGTTGCCTGGGATGCACCACAAGGAAGCTAATCTACATTGCACCCCTTCCTATTCCATAGGACAGTGGTAGCGAACCTATGGCATGCGTGCCAGAGGCGGCACTCAGAGCCCTCTCTGTGGGCACGCGCGCAGTTGCCCCAGCAGAGTTTGCCAGAGTAGCGAGCACGTAGTATTTGGAAGCAATGGCAAGAAGTGAGCGAGCAAGGGGTGTTGGCCACAAGGGATGCCCCGGAGATGGCGAGGGACTTGCCCCCGCTACCCTGGCCCCGGCCATGCTCACCCAGTCTGCCGTGACCACTGCAGCCACGCCCACCTAGTGGGCCACGCTCCCACGCCCTCCCTAAGGGCACCACAATACTGATGCAGCCCTGGCACTTTGCGATAAATAAGTGGGTTTTGGGTTGCAGTTTTGGCACTCGGTCTCTAAAAGGTTCACCATCACTGCCATAGGAGGACCCGACTGATTCACAATTTAATTTTTATTGTTTTTATTTTCAAGTTATATCCTGCTTCTTCTCTGGAGCTCAAAGGGGATTACCTCTTACTTAATATAACAGAATAGCAGAGTTGGAAGGAACTTTGGAGGTCTTCTAATTCCACCCCCTGCTTGGGCAAGTATTTTTAACAGGTTGTTTGCCAGAAAGACAGAACTCTCAAGAATAAGGATTCTCTGAACTTTCCTTGCAGAATGGCTATTAAAAGGGTGTTAAAAAGTGCTGAGAGGGATTTCTCGTATATAAATAAAGGAAAGATCAATGATATTCTGAATCAAGGTAGCAAAAGGTTTCAAGCCAAAATACTTAACAACAACAAGAGCTCCACTTACGTTTCAGACTGATTGAGACATCCTTTTGGCCTTTAGGTTACCTTTTCTTGAATTAAAAACAGCCCATTCAAACTTACCAGGGCCAGACAGTTCACAGAAATAGAGCAGCAACTGGGGAAAGGAAAAGGTGACGCGTTAAGAGAAATGCGTCATTACACAAAGAGATCAACAGAGGACATTGAACTAAAGATCCTGATCCTTGCAGAACATCTTACTGTAGGGGGAAAAAGCTGGAATAAGAAGACATGTACATCACTGCCGGCATTTCCTTCTTATGTGTCTTTAACTTTAAATCAGATTTAGGCCAGATGTCCTTTCAAATAAACTTCTGGTTCACAGCATGCCATCCTTCAGATGTGTTGGGAGCGACAATTGTCAGAGCAAATTCTACAGTAGGAGTTCAGTTGCTAACCATTGTGGGAAGAATCCAGAGAAAAAAAATATTTTGGGAAATATTAAAAAGGCAGAATATAGTTCCCCAAAGGGAGAATATAGTTCCCCAAAGGATTTAACCCCCTCCCCAAGTCTCTCTGCCCCAGACAGAAACCAGATCTGCAGAAATGCTGATGTGATAATCTTGTCAGAAAGATTGGAGTCAGGAAGCTGGGATTAGAAAGATCCCTAGAATCAAAAATCCCTCACACCAAAAATATCCAACAGTCATCAGCCACAGTCCCAGGGAAGCAGGATACGACCTTTGGGACATAATAAGATTAACCCACCACCATCAGTATACCAAAAGGGCACATTCAGATTCAGGTCAAAGGAACAACTCCAAACAAAAGCTCAAGAAGGTATAAAAACCCACTCCCTACTACCTGTGGTCAGGGTTTTTTTTCCAGAGCCATCTTTCTATCTGGCTCTCCTCTTCAATAAACTTCAACCTTCTTTCTAAAGCAGTCTCCATGTTGTTTATTTCCAGCTTGGATTGGATCCTGATGAAGATTTTTCCTTCAACACCATATTTGGAAAATATCATCATGAGTAACCAAACTATAGGTACTCTGCACAAAAACCAATCTGAATAATGGGTAATTTTGTGAAATTCTCTCTTCAAAATGCATGAGATAGAACTAGGCTTACCTATGTTTCTAAACCTGACATTACAGGTAGCCCACAAGCCCCAAATTTTTGTTGCTAAGTGAAACATTTGTTAAAGTGAATTTTGCTGCATTTTATGACTTTTCTTGCCATTGTTGTTAACTGAATCCCAGCAGTTGTTAAGTTAGTAACACGGTTGTTAAGTGAATCTGCCTTCCTCGTTGACATTGCTTGTCAGAAGGTTGCAAAAGGGATCATGTGATCCCCGGGGACACTGCAACTGTCATAAATATGACTCCGTTGCCAAGCGTCCGGATTTGGATGACATGACCAGGGGGATGCTGCAATAGTCATAAGTGTGAAAAATGTCACAAGTCACTTTTTTCAGTGCCGTTGTAACATAAACGGTCACTAAATGAACTGTTGTAAATCGAGGACTACCTGTATTTTATTTATTGGATTATTTTAGACCCAGTGCCACTTCTTGCTGCCGTACGTCAGTTGGGCACTACCTATCCTGGGTCTTGGGAAGAAATGTTGCTAATCATCTGGTTGCAAAAGGTGATCACATATCCCCAGGGACACTGCAATTGTCATAAATATGAACCAGTTGCCAAGCATCTGAATTTTGATCTCATGATCATGAGGATGCTGCAAAGGTCGTAACTGTGAAAAAGCATCATAGTCACTCTTTTCCGTTATGCCGTTGTTACTTTGAACGGTCACTAAACAGACTGTTGGACTTTCATGGTAAGAAGTTGCATTCTTGTTTTTAACCTGCCTTTCACAGCAGAATATATCGAGAGAATCATGAAAAGAGAAATGCTGGATGCAGCGCTGGGAAAACATAGCAGTGTTGTTGTTGTTTTTTAAAAAAAAGCCACTTCAACACACTTTTCACTTCAAACGATGGTATGAATAATGCCTTACAGTGACAATGCCAAGCTTTTTCAACTTATGCACCAGAAAATATTCCAGTAAAAAAACAGTGGGGGCGAGAAATGTGGTGGTGGGGGTAGAGAGATGGATCATCAGTCACTTAATCATAATTGCAGCAGCCATTGTTCTCTTTTTCCCAGAGGCTATTCAATCTGGAACTGTTTTCCTTTCTTAGCTGTTTGCTGGCAATTTTCTGACGGTTTCTTCTCTTTTTCCTTTCCACCTACATCAGCATGTTGTTAAACTGCATTGTTGCTGCACACAGCACGCACCTCAAGCCATACCTTCTTGGCAACGTTTCCTTCGACAACTGCCTCATTCTGAACCTGCCAGCAAGCGATGATCAAAGAATGGAGTAACTTTAAAATAATAATAATAATAACAGCAACAACTAGCACACGCTTCTCCAAGTAGCCGTTGCTGAATCTATGCACCTTGTGACAGAAGTCGCTAAGGGTTTTCTGTTCTTCTTATATGGTAATCAGATTCAATGTTTTCTAGATCTGACCCCAAAACACCTCAGCTGTTCCAGAAAAGGGAAGTAATTTAAGAGAAAAGGAAGAGAAATTTGACCAGGAAAGAAAACAAGGGTGACAGGTGTTCTAAAATGCAAATCCACCAGAAGCGAGGAATCAGATGGCACAATCCCAAGATTTATTTATATATTTGTATCCCACCTTTGTTAGGGACATGATGGCCCAATCGTTAAAGACACTGAGTTTGTTGGCTGGAAAGCTAATAGCCTGGGTTTGAGACCCGAGCGCCACACCACAGGATGAATTCCCATTCTTTGCCCCAGCTCCTGCCCACCTAGCAGTTTAAAAGCATGCAAATGCAAGTAAATTAATAGGTACCACTTTGGCGGGAAAGTAACAGCGTATAGCCATACTGTGGAAAGCCACGCTAGTCATAAAGCAGGTCATCATGTAATTGTGCCCAGCTTAATGATCTTTTTTTGCGACAAGTTGTTAAATGAAAAGTCATAAAGCAAATCTATATTCACCAATGGGCGCTTTCTGCCAGAAATAAATACCAGACACTGCCAAAAAATGCCAAAAACCTCAGCCATGTAACAATCATACTATAAATGTGTCAAAACCTGGTAGCAAGTAGCTCTGAGGAGATGCATCATACCTGAGTGGTCGCTAAGCAACTGGTCGTTAAGCGAGGACTTCAGGTACTGTTTCTTGCAATCTCAACTGTCTGACACCTACTTACAGATCTGACTTGAATCTTGGTTTCCACAAAACCCATTTTGAAGTCCCAAATTTCCTGGGAGTTCCTTGAACCCAATCTCATAAAGGGGGCTGCATAGGATGGGCCTGTGTCCTTCCTGTTAGACGACAATCCTTTATCACAGTGGTTTTCAAACATTTTGGCATCAGGACTCCTTTGCATTCTTAAAAATTGAAGTCCCCTCAAACAATAATTACGATATTTGACATTAAAACTGAGAAATGTTTGAAATATTTACTTGACTTTGTGAACCTCCAAGAGAGTCTTGAGGAACTCCTGGTGATCTCCACACCACACTTGAAGAACCTCTATCTTATTCCAAGGGCTGTCAGGAGAAAATCCTCAGAAGACAATCCCCATTTTGAAATTCTGCCCACTTAAAAGAGGAAAAGAAGAGAGGGAAAAAGCTCTCTCTCAAAGGAGGAAATACCCAACAAAAGTCCCAATGGAGTGTTGCGTTTCTGTTTAAATGTTAGTAATGATTTCTTAATGTTATTCTCATTTTTATCCTCTCTTAGGGAGGCATTTCATCTGAGTTACTGACGCATGAGTGCTTGTCCTGACAGATTTGCACTGGAGAGCACTATGCATCATCGCAATATTTTTCAGTGACGTCAAATCACTGCTGAGACTTTTTTTTAAAAAAATGATTGCGCAGAAACAAATGAGCTGCCATTTCACAGAGCCCATTTCACACATTTGCAGTTTATTAGATTTGGCTAATGCACATGTTAGCCATTATATATATACACATACAGAGGGAGAGAGGGGGAGAGGGGGAGAGAGAGAGAGAGAGAGAAAGAGAGAGAGAGAGAGAGAGAGAGAGAGAGAGTTGTTCCATTTTGTTCCATTTCTGGAACATAACGGGCAGCCCCTAAACCAACTAAATCTATTCAAAATATGCTCAGAAAACCCAACAACCAATGGAGATAAATTAAGAGTTGTCTTACAACATATAATTGCAAAAATCACATTGGACGGCAAAGAGGCAGAACACTGAGAGAATATGCCCATGAACATCAACCGGCAGTCACCAAATATGATGACACCTTCCTAATTCCACAACATACCAATGAGTTCAAACACAATTTCAGTTGGGAAACTGTAAATTTGTTAGAACAGTGTTCCTCAATCTTAACAACTTTAAGATGTGTGGACTTCAACTCTCAGAATTCCACAGCCAGCCATAATTCTGGAAGTTGAAGTCTACACATCTTAAAGATGCCAAGATTGAGAAACATTGTCTTAAACCAAACCAAATCCTATCAATTATGGGTGCTGAACTAGGATAGGAAGAACAGGACATACCTGAAATGAAAAGCATATGAATTTCAAAGCATGTTCTCAAGAAAAGTGAATCTATGGTCCTCAGCCTGTCTTCAAAACCTACATGCAAGCAATCACATAGCCCACCTATCTCCACTTGGGAATTATAGGAATCAGAGTCCCTGCATATGTGTCAAACTGGGGTTGCTGTCATGGGAAAATGCTGCCAATTATTCACATTTTGCCAAATCTGTATCAGTATTAAAGACAACACTAATTTTCCAAGTGACTTGGAAGTAATATTAACGAAGCACTTTCAAAGACAAAAGGAAAGAGGCAGTGTGTGTAAAACCAGTGTTTAGATCAGTGTTTCTCAACCTTGACAATTTTAAGGCATGTGGACTTCAACTCCCAAAATTCCACAGCCAGCATTGCTGGCTGTGGAATTCTGGGAGTTGAAGTCCACATGCCTTAAAATTGTCAAGGTTGAGAAACACTGGTTTAGATGATGGGAATAGCCTGAAGGGCATTGTCTCACACTAATAAATGAGGCCATAAACTGAATTATGGCCCAGATTAGTAACTTAGTTATCCAAAGAGAAATGTCATTTATAAAGCTTAATGCTCTTATTGCACAAAATAAGAAGAGGGCATTGGATTCCCATTTCAAAAACTGGTTTTTAAGGGGCTTGTCAATCTTAGGAATCAATATAAACCTGAAGTCAGGTATTGCTTGCTTTAAATTGTGGATTTTAACTCTTCCCAAAGGTTTAATAAATAAGAAAAATCCAAAGGATGGGGCATCTTTTAGGGCAGAAAGATCTGAATTTTTAAAGTGGTGCAAGATAACTGTGGTTCATAAATATGAGTCAGTTGCCAAGCATCCCAATTTTGATCACAGAATAACAGAATAATGGAGTTGGAAGATCTTCTAGTTCAACTTCCTGCTCAGGCAGGAAACCCTATACCATTTCAGACAAATGGCTGTCCAGTCTCTTCTTAAAAATCTCCAGTGTTGGAGCATTCACAACTTCTGGAGGTAAGTTCTTCCACCGATTAATTGTTCTGATTGTCAGGAAATTTCTCCCTAGTTCTAGGTTGCTTCTCTCCTTGATTAGTTTCCATCCACTGCTCCTTCTCCTGCCTTCAGATACTTTGGAGAATAGCTTGACTCCCTCTTCTTTATGGCAATCCGTTAGATATTGGAAGAATGCTATCATGTCTAGTCCTTCTTTTCATTAAACTAGGCATACCCGATTTCAGCAACCATTCTTTATATGTTTTAGGCTTTAGCTTCCAGTCCCTTAATCAACTTTGTTGCTCTTCTCTGTATACTGTACTCACATAACCATGGGGATGCTGCAGTGGTCGTAAGTGTGAAAAAGTCATAAGTCATTTTTTCCAGTGCCACTGTAACATTGAACGGTCACTAAATGAATGGTTCAAGCACTATTTGTGTTCAAAAGCAAAGCAAAGTACACAGCAGTCTGGCCCAACCACTTCCATCTGCTCCTAAAGAATCAAAGCTGGAACACACATGTGCAGGCTGGGAGTGACAGGAAGACAACTTCATCTATTTCTATGCTCAGGAAGCCAGGCATGGCCTGGTGATGGAGCAATCAGGAAGCGCATATCTGCCCTTCCTGAAAATTTTTGGTCTTTCTTTGGAATTCCTCTGATGTTTCTTCTGGAAAAGAAGAAGGAGTCTCCACTTATACTGATAAAATCTGCTGGCTGCTACAAAGAACAAGTTCCATTAGACCTCCTTTGCAAGCCAGACTGGCCCCAAATAATTCACTAACTAATGACATTTCCCCAATGGATGAATTAAAGTGTTCCCCACCCATCCTTGAGACAGCAGAAAAGAAGACCAAGGTGGCATTTGCTGGTGCCACTGCTGATCCCTATCCATGCCAACACAAGGATAAAATGTCTCTGCCTCTTGTGTTATGGGATCACAATGCTGTAAATGTTTCATTACAGGTAATAATAATGATGATGATGATGATGTTGTTGGAAGGGACCTTGGAGGTCATCAAGTCCAACCCCTGCTCAGGAAGGAAACCATTTCGTACAAATGGCTGTCCAGTCTCTTCTTAAAAACTTCCAGTGTTGGAGCATTCACCACTTCTGGAGGCAGGTTGTTCTACTGGTTAATTGTTCTAACTGTCAGGAAGTTTCTCCTTAGTTCCAGGTTGCTTCTTTCCTTGATTAGTTTCCATCCGTTGCTTCTTGTCCTGCCTTCAGGTGCTTTGGAGAATAGCTTGACTTCCTCTTCTTTGTGGCAACCCCTGAGATATTGGAACACTGCTATCATGTCACCCCTAGGCCTTCTCTTCATTAAACTAAACATACCCAATTTCAGCAACTGTTCCTTATATGCTTTAGCCTCCAGTGCCCTCCAGTTGACTTAAAAACCGCAGTGGAGCCCAAAATTAGGAACTGGGCCATACAAATGAGCAAAGCTTCATCTGCACATGCATGGGATCTAGGCAGTGCATAAAATCACACACAAACACACACACACACACACACACACACGCACACACTGGTCCCTGATGCCTAAGAGGTAGTTTGAGCCCCTGCTCTATAGGGTAGAAAATTAAACATGGCCTCTTTCTACAAATTTGAATGCATGTTTACAAGTAGTTCTCGATTTATGACTAGTCACTTAGCATCCATTCAAACTTACAATGCACCCTAAAAGGGGGACTTGTGAACCTGCTTCGCACTTCCAATGTCTGCCCCCCCCCCAGTCATTCAGCAACCAGCTCAAATTTAAAGCCACTAGCATCAGCCCGTGGTCACGTGATCCCGATTTACAATGTTTTCGCTGGAAACGGGCATTCACTTCCAGTGTCATCAAAGATTGCCCTTTATGAACAATTTAACACTTTAAAGCTATTAAAAAATGTAAAACGACTGCCACGTTTGCTTTATGACCAACACATTTGCTTATCAGTCACCAAAAAAAGCCATAAAATCAGGTCCAGTCATGTGGTGGCCCACTTTATGACAATCATGACTTATGACCATAATAGGTCAGGGGTAGGCAACCTTGGCTCTTTTATAACTTGTGGACTTCAACTCCCAGAATTCCTGAGCCAGGCTGGCTCAGGAATTCTGGGAGTTGAAGTCCACGAGTCATAAAAGAGCCAAGGTTGCCTACCCCTGACTTACGTAAACTTGCATATGGACTTAAAATAAGAAAACATGCATATGTATGGCAGATGCAAAAATTAGGAGCCCCCATCCCTCAGTGTTTTTCGCCACTTCCTTTGAAACAAGGAGCAGCTTTTAGATACTTCCTTTGAACAGATCTTATGATTTTTGCTTTTGGATGCTCTCCCCCATCCCCCCACACACTCATTTTAGAAATTTGTTGGTCTATTCCAAAGGCATTTTAGCATCTGTTTACCCCCTTATGCGTTCTAACATGAACTCAGTTCAGTCTAATTTGTACACTTATAGGATCTAGTTGACATCTCCCTTTATGACATGTTTGTCTTTACCATTACTTGCTGAATAGGCTGGGTTAATGTTAGAGATAGGCAGTGCTCTCAGTGATTCCAGAAAGGTGCTTTTGGATATTACTAAGGACCACATGATCCCAATAAGGCTGCTTTAGCAATAGCACTTAGACTTATATACCACTTCATAGTGCTTTACAACCCTCTCTAAGCAGTTTATAGAGTCAGCATGTTCCCATAACAGTCTGGGTCCTCATTTTACCGACCTTGGAAGGATGGAAGGCTGAGTCAGCCTTGAATCCCATCAGGATCGAACTCCAGGCTGTGGGCAGAATTTGCTTGCAATACTGCATTCTAACCACTGCGCCACCAGGACTCTTAAAAAGTTGGTAACAAATACTACGTTCATACTCCTGTGTACTCCAAAACTTCTCAAATAATTTCCAAATTGCTGAAGGACTCTAATTGTTTTTGCTGTTGTTTTTTTTATATCTACTTTCTAGTTATTCATTTGTCTGTTTCCTGATTTTTTTTACAAAAAGTAATGATGTGTGATAGCTGGTTTAGAAGCTAAACAGATGGGGAAAATAAGTTGATTAAAAACAAAGAGTATCTGTGTGGTTATTATGAGGTTCTGTTCCAGGTAGCAAAAGAATTTGTGTTGGTGTGTGTGTATGTGTGTATATGTCTCTTGCCTTGTGTATGTCTCTATGTGTGTATCATATCACAGAACTTCACTTGGAACCTTTACTAAAAACTCTGCACCCTTAGCTGAAATCTGAAATTGTTTTCTTAATAGAAGTCAGTTGGCTGGCTCCAGAAAATTTGGTAGCAAAACACAGTTAAAGATTAATAGCAATATAAAAAAAATGACTTCACCTTACCTTAAATGTCCTATCCATGCACTACCATCATTAACTAAGATGATCAAAGGACTGGAGACTAAAACATACGAAGAACAGCTGCAGGACTTGGGTTTGGCAAGTCTAAAGAAAAGAAGAAACAGGGGCAACATGATAGCAGTATTCAAATATTATTCTCCAAAGCACCAGAGGGCAGGACAAGAAACAATGGTTGGAAACTGAACAAAGAGAGAAGCAATCTGGAATTAAGGAGAAACTTCCTGACAGTGAGGACAATTAACCAGTGGAATAGCTTGCCTCCAGAAATCATGGGCACTCCATCACTGGAAATTTTTAAGAAGAGGCTAGACCACGGGTCGGCAACCTACGGCTCTGGAGCCGCATGCGGCTCTTTCAGCCTTCTACTGTGACTCCAATCCTCTTTCGCCATTTGCAGAGACAGAGAGAGGCACTTGCGCTTCGCTTCCCTTCTCCATGGGAGAAGTACGGCCAGGAAGTCCCTTTCCCAGGCTGGCCCCGTCCGAGGCGCACATGGCCGGGGAGCCGCACAGGGCAGCCCCAGGATCCACCCCTGGGAGCGGCCCACTGGAGCCTCCACTGAGCGGGCCAGCCCTCCCGCAAGCTGCGGCCCCGAGGGAGCACAGCCCCTGCGATCCCCAGATGGCGCTACTGTTGGCCCCACTGGCCAGGAAGGCGCGCTGGAGTCCCGGCTGCTGAGAAGGCGATTGGCCTGCTCCTCTCCCATCACCCAGAAGAGGTAAACAATTAATCCCCAGTGCCGGGTTTTCCCTGCATGCAGGGCTTAAATTGGTGGCGGACACGCAGCAAGGGAGGGAGTGGGAGAGAGAGAGGGAGAGGAAAGAGAGAGAGAGAGAGAAAGAGAGAGGGGGGGAGGGATGGAGGAAAGGAGGGAGGAAGAGAGAGGAAAGAGAAAATATGAATATATGTTGTCTTTACTGGACTTTTAGTAAAGAACGTTTAATGAAATATTTTGATTTTTTTAATTAAGAGATGAGGTATGGAGATAATTATGCTGTATTTAAAGATGGTAGATAAGCTACTAAAATTGTTTTCACCTGTTGGGATGAAGGAGAAAGTTTTTTTCCCTCTTTCTCCTGCATAAAAAATTGTGTTTTTTTGTAGCAGTTCATTGATTTCATAAATGCAACACACTATAGTTTTTTATACATAGTATAAAGGTAAAAAAGGATATATGCAGTGTTATCTTTATTTTAGATATCAAAAGAGTTTTATGGCTCCCAATGTTTTCTTTTCTGTGAGAAATGGGTCCAAGTGAGTATTTAAGGTTGCCGACCCTTGGGCTAGACCAGGGATAGTCAACCTTGGCTCTTTTATGACTCGTGGACTTCAATTCCTGGCTCAGGAATTCTGGGAATTGAAGTCTACGAGTCATAAAAGAGCCAATAGGAATTGTCCAGGCTGTCTCTGCCCTGCTGAGCCTGCCAAAAGTCCCATTCTGCAAACGGTGCTGCAAGTTGTCTGCAGCGAAGGTGAGCTGTCTGGAAGTTTCCACTCCTCCCTGCTGAGCAACTACTAAAAATGTAAGCAAAAGAGGGCCATGGTTGGGAGGTGGGAGGCCGGCAGGCGCAGGGAGGGTTGCTGGCACGTGTGGGGCCCGGCGAGTGCCTTACCTCCCTTGGGCTGGGCCAGCTGGTAGCCAAGGCCGTGGTCGGCCTGCGCCGTCTCTGCCACTTGCCAGCTACGCCTCGGCTGGTTGGGTAGTCCTCGACTTACGACCGGTTGGGGGTCGCGGCATTAAAAAGGTTGAGAACCACTGGGCTAGACAGTCATTTATTTGAGATGGTATAGGTTCTCCTGCTTAAGCGAGAGGCTGGACTAGAAGACCTCCAAGGTCCCTTCCAGCTCTATTCTATTCAATTCTAATGTCGTGCAATAAAATAATTGCCCATTCCTGAGAACCCAACTGGAAAATAAAAGTGGGGGCATATTTTCAACGGAAAATTCAAATTTTCTTCCAGGCTCTCTATCCCTATTAGACTCACATGTATATTTTGAATCAGGATTAAGACTGGTGGGAAAGGATAAATCCTTCAGGCATAAATCTTCAGTGTGGATTGAGTTGGTTGAGAAAATCAGGGGTGATTTATTGGAGATTAGCAGATCAGAGTTGAGGAATGTAAAGAGCTTTATGTCAGTATCCCTCCCTGAAAATTTGGTTCAGAATTAGGCCTGCTCAATTACATGCATACAAGAAAAGAAATGGAAAATGAGACGCTCACATTGCTTTTCCCTTTTAACAGGAATGAAAACAGATGTAAGGAATGAGGCCTGGAAAGCATCTCCTTTTTACATGTTAGTTCTGATCTCCTTAGTTTAAAAGGAGTGGGCAGAAAATGCTTAAAATATATCTATCTAGGTTAGAGAAAGCATTATTGTAGCTAAGTGTTCCTTGTGGACATTGTGCTTGAAACACTGTACTTTGGTCTTTCATAATCTCAGATGAAATACTATAGACCAGAGGTCCCCAACCTTTTGGGCACCAGGGACCAGTTACCGTAAATGCCGGCGTATAAGGCGACTTCCGCGAGCGCTGAAATCGGCGCCAAAGACGGGGGTCGTCTTATACGCCGAGTCGTCTTATACGCCGGAAATACTGGTAGTTTCCGGCGTATAAGACGACATTCTAAGAATGCGGCCCGGCTATAAAGACGGGGGTCGTCTTATACGCCGGGTCGCCTTGTACGCCGGCATTTACGGTACATGAAGAGAGGTTTTTCTGAGGCCAGGAGGGGACGTGGTTTTGTGTGCTGCCTGCATCCCACGGATGGGGCTTTCCTTGTGTGTGTGGACCAGTTGCTGGCATGCTGCGGCCCAGTACTGGTCCACAGACTGGGGGTTGGGGACCCCTACTATAGACAGAATGGCTTGGCTTGGCAATCATAGAACCATCATGGCTGAACGGATTCTGGAGCAAATGACATTGGATGAGATCTGGGATTATAAACAAAGTGGCCCTTTAGTCAGGCCTGATTTAGGTTACACTTATAAGAAAGGAATGGCAAGTGAGACATTAGGAGGAAGTTTCCTGACAATAAGAGTTACTGGCCAGTGGAACCAGCTGCCACATTAAGTGCTGAATTCTCATTCACTAGAGCAGGGGTGTCAAACTACCGGCCCATGGGCCGATGCAAAATGCGCCCACCCCATTACCAGCAATGGAAAAAAAGTCAAGGTACGTCACAACACGTCACGTGATGTTGCGAGTTTGACACCCCTGCACTAGAGATAGTCCTCAACTTACAACTGATCACTTGGTGACCATTCAAAGTTACTACGGACCTACCAGGAGGGCTAATTATGATCCAGATTCAAAATTATGACAGCTGGTCTCCTCCATGCTCATACATCTACAGCTCTTGGCAATGTACCACGATCACATGACTGCATTTTATAATAGTTTTGCCCAAAATCATCATTTATTTCTGATTCAGGGGAAAAACTCACCCAGCATTGTCCGAAAACATTTTCTATGGTTATGTGGCCAGCATGACTATAAGCCAAAGGCGTACAGAATGCTATTGCCTTCCCACCAAAGTGATACCTATTTATCTACTCGCATTTGTATGCTTTTCAACTGCTAGGTGAGCAGGAGCTGGGGCAAGGAACGGGAACTTACTCCTTTGTGCGGCCCTCAGGTCTCAAACCCGGACTGTCAGTTTTGCAGCTGACCAGCTCAGCATCTTTAACCTCTGAGCCACCGAACCCTCTCTTTTTTTTTCACAATCTCCAATTAAATTGGAGACCACTCTGGAGTGTCTAAAAGGCAAATGCAATCATATTAATTGCAATCCCTTTTAAAGCGATAGCCAAGATCTAGAGCAGTGGTTCTCAACCTGTGGGTCAGGACCCCATTTGGGGTCGAACGACCATTTCACGGGGGTCGCCAAACAACGCAGTCCGCCATTTTTTCCCCCTTTTCCTTAGCTGTGCTACTCCCTTTTATTCTATTGGCTTTTGAAAGCCAATAGAATAGACTCTCTTGAATAGAGTCTAATTCTATTGGCTTTCAAAAGCCAATAGGAATTGTCCAGGCTGTCTCTGCCCTGCTGAGCCCACCAAAAGTCCCATTCTGCAAACGGTGCTGCACCACTTGAGTAGTCCTCGACTTACGAACGGTTGGGGGTCACGGCATTAAAAAGGTTGAGAACCACTGATTTAGAGGCAGTCCTATGTGCAAACACATTATCGCCCCAAAAGACTAGAAATATATCAGTGTTGAGAAGAGGGCAAGGGAAATTTGACTGTCCCAGTGTGAGTGCTCTTACCTTCTACGACCAGCTTGGCTGGTTTATTCCTTCTCGTGCACTTTCTAATTAAAACCAATTGCTGAGCATTCATAAAATATACAATCGGTATTCTGATGACTGCAGGCAGATGCATAGCCCTGTTTTTTTTTTCTCTCTCTCTCCGGTGAAAGGAGCTTCAGCAAACACAGCCACGTCAGGTCTCGTTTCTTTCTTCACATTTCACTACAGGCCTTTGTCAGGTCAATGACTCTTTTAAAAATAAGGAAAACATGGATCCATGCCCAGCTTAGATCTTGCTGACAATGCAGTTCCTTTAAGTAGGTATGGAACACTGCTACAACCCAGCGGAAGAGAGAGAGAGAGAGATTAAGTTCTGCAATCCATTATGTTGCATTTAACGGTACATTTAAACCTATAACCTTATCCAGACATTTGTAAATGGTAAAACACGTGGGACATGCCATATGAGCTTTTTAACTACATCAATGTGGATTTGTTTTTTGACTGTTAATTAAAATTAAAAAAAATCTTTTCCCGGTCTGGATGTGGTTGCCTTTACTTCCTCGTCTGCCTCTCTATTCTTCGTCATTTTAACAATTCTGAATCTAGTTATTGACAGAGAAATATGATGGTTCATCATAAAATCTTTTTTTTTAAGTATTTTATTAGTTTTTTATCATTACAATTCATTTGGGCTTAATGAACAACATGTTGTTTGGGTTAATTTTTGCTCAGTCTTAAAACTTAAGTTCTTACTCTCTATCTCGTTTTTCCAACCATTGATAAAATAGGTTCCATGTTTGAAAGTATTCTGTATCTTCTTTTCCTTTAATTCTCAAGGTGAGTCTATCCATTTCCCCACAATCCAGTATTTTCTTAATTATCGCTTCCTCCGATGGTATTCTCTCATTTTTCCAGTGCTGCGCAAATATAATCCTCGCTGCTATTAATACATATAATATACATTGTGTTTATCAATTTTTTCTGGCATTAAAAGTTCAGGTTTAAAATCTACGTGTTTCCCTAACATCTTTTCTAACTAAGTGTGTGTATTTCTGTCCAATTCTTTCTTTCTTTCTTTCTTTCTTTCTTTCTTTCTTTCTTTCTTTCTTTCTTTCTTTCTTTCTTTCTTTTTTTCTTTTTTGCTTTAACACATGTCCACCACAAGTGATAATATGTACTGGAATTTTGATTGCATTTCCAACATTTACTAGACATATTTTTAAACATTTTTGCTAATCTAACAGGTGGAAAATGCCATCTATAAAACATTTTATATAAGTTTTCTTTATACGAAGTAGCCATTGTCAGTTTATAATTTCTTTCCCAAATATTTTGCCATTTCTGTAATTCTATATTATATCCAAAGTTTTTTGCCCATATAATCATTGTTTCTTTCACTTGTTCGTCTTGCATTTTTAAATTCAATAAAAAAATTATACATTTTTAATCATTTTTTCATCAGACATCAACCACACCTGATCAAACATTGTCTGGTCCTTATAAAAACCATATGTTTTAACATCTTTGTCGTATCTCAATTGCATTTGTAATTGGGGCCACCATGATAAGTCAACACCTTGGTCTTCTAGCTCTTGTTTAGATTTTAATTTTCCATCTGTATTCAGAATCTCCTTATATGTTAAATTTTTTTCAAATTTAACTAGGTTTGGGTGAGCAAAAGCTTCCATCACTGATAGCTATCCTGGGATAAATTTTTGGTTTTATCTTTTCCCATACAGATAATAATGCATTTCTTATATAATGGTTTTGAAAGTATTGTTGAATGAAAAATCTTCATCATGGTTCAGTCCAAGCCAGGAATAAACAACATGGCCACTGCTTTAGAAAGAAGGTTGCAGTTTATTGGAGAGGAGAGCCAGACAGAGAGATGGCTCTGGAAGAAAAGAGACCAAGCACATGTAGGGAGTGGGTTTTTATACCCTCTGGAGCCTTTTGTTTGGAGTTGATCCTGTGGCATGAACTTTGACCTGAGTCTGAGTGTGCCCTTTGGCATCCCTGGGTTGATCCAATTATGTCCTGTCTTAGAGCTTGGGTGGGGTATGTAGATTTTAGGTGTCTTTGTCTTCCTAAACTTCTGGCTGGGGGCCTCCAACCTTCCTGGATTATTTACATCTGCATTTCTACAGAGCTGGTTTCTGTTTGGGAGAGGGAGACTTGGGACTATTAAGAAAACTGGGCATGCTTTTCTACCTCTTTAAGATCCTTTGAGAAAATATATTTTTCAGCCCTTTTAATATTTCCTTTTCTGGGAGGCTGACTTCCCACAGTATCTATGAGTTTTGTTCTTTTCATACCATAAAAATGCATGCCACCCAAGTTGTAAGTCATGTCCTTCTAAATATAACAACCTTTTGTTTCTGAGGGTTATACATTCTTTTAGCCATGTTAGCGCACATGCTTGGTAGTATAGGACCCAATCTGGTAGTCCAAATCCTCCATTTTCTTTGGTTTCTTATAGCATTTTTAGTTTAATTCTAGCTTTCCTTCCTTGCCAAATAAATTTCAAGATCATGCTATTCAAATCATCAAAAAACAATTTTTTTCTATTTTTATAGGTACTGTTTGGAGTAAAAAAAAGAAGTTTTGGTAAAATATTCATTTTTACAGTAGCTATTCTTCCTAGCACTGATAATTGTAGGCTTTTCCATTTTTCCAAGTCTGTTTTTATTTGGCTTAGTAGTTTTATGTAATTATCTTCTTTTATCATTGCACATCTTGCTGTTAAATATATTCCCAAGTATTTAACTTTCTTAACTATTTGTAGGTCTATTTTTCTGACAATTATGTTTTTTGCTTATCTGTGAGGTTTTTAACTATAACTTTGTTTTTTTCTCTGTTTATTTTCAATCCTACTGTTTATCCAAATTTTTCTATCTTTTTCAATAATTTGGATGTTGCCTCCAATGGTTCTTCTAAAATAAATGCCAAGTCATCTGCAAATGCTTGTAGTTTAGCGCGTGGGCACTAGCACTGCCCCGTTTTTGCTGTGCGGCACCCTGTTTTTGCTGCAGCTCTAGTGCGAGTGGGGTGAGTGCACACACACACACATGTGCATAGTGGCCAGCCTGTTCCTCAGCCCGGTGGCCAGTAGGCCACGACCCAGTAGTGGGCCCACAAGTTGGGGACCCCTGATCTAGTCATTAGCACTCTGAAGACTGGTTGGTGGTTAGGTCTCTGAGAGTTGTTGAGGCTGTCTTTAAAAGAGTGACCTTTGTCTTTCAGATGTAGATGGACTACTGAATCTTGTCCTCACGAGAAGGAGGTTTTCAAGGGAAAAAAAAATCAAAAAAGTCCAGTTACAAAAATAAATAAATAAATAAATAAATGGATTGTCATGGAATCTTAAATGAAGTTAAAATTGATCAAGCTATGAAATATAGAAAGGGCATCTCCTTGAGTAATTCCATAGCAAGTGAAAATGTACATATGGATTCCATTCAGGACTTTACAGACAAAACTTTTGACAGTTTCCCCACTTCCATGGATTGGAGTGAAGCCATTTCATACATCGGTGGACCCAAACCAAAACATGTCTCCCTGGCGCTTGTTATGCCAGCATCAAGCTCCTTTTTAAATGTGTTTTGGATTTTAATCTCCCTATCATTTGCCTGTATTTATATTAGGCTGCAATTCTGCACTTCCATCATTGCTGCAATTCATTTTTTTTTAATTACATAAAGATAAGATAATATTTTTACTAATAAAGCCCTGGCTACATAACTCAGGATTCTCAGCTGAAGCTTCTTAAACACTTTAAAGACAGCCCTGGACAGAAGGCTTTATTATATAAGCCCTTTTCCTTCTTCTTACTCCCTTTGGAGCCTACTGAGATTAAATTATTGTAATGGAGCTTTCCCCCTTATATTGAATTTTGGTAGTGCAACTTTCTGATTTACTATATAAAAAATATACAATAAAATTGGTGCATTAAACTGCTAATGTGCTTAATAAAATCATGCCTCTGGAAACAAAAATGGGGGAGACAGGGGGAAAAGTGTCACAGGAATTCTTACCATATTGCACGGCAAACTTTTAAGGTGTAAACAAAACAAAATGTTTACTTTCTTAAGTACTGAGCCTATTATTCTCCATGCTGGATGATACCAAAATATCTATAATCGTATTCTGTTCTAGACTTCTAAAGCTAAAGCTAAAGAGATTAAAATAGAGATAAATAGATAAACAGAAATAGAGATAATAGAGACAGAGACAGACAGGTAGATAGATGATGGCTGACTGGAGAGAGAGAGAGAGAGAGAGAGAGAGAGAGAGAGAGAGAGAGAGAGAGAGAGAGAGAGAGAGAGAGAGAGAGAGAGAGAGAGAGAGGATGATAGATGATGGATGATAGATGATAGAGATGGAAAGTCTAGAGAGCAAATGAGCGAGAAACAGAGAAAGAAACAGAACCAAAGAAAGATAGATAAAGAGAGACAGACAGAGAGAGGGATCAGCTGCCTGATCTCATAAAAGCTAAGCAGGGTCAGGCCTACTTAATACTTGGATGGGAGATGGCCAGGAAATCCTGAGACAGGCCATGCCATGAAACTGAACAGAGTACCCCAGAAGAATATTATGTCGAGTCACTTTCACATTGCGTCCAAGAAAACATGAGTGTATTGATTTAACCACTACCTAAAATTCTTTATCTTTTATCTGAAAATAGATTTGTTTTGATCCAATGAGGTTAATTCATGGTAAAATCAGACAGTCCATAAGCTGCTGAAAGACATGTGCTATCTCCATTGCTGGTCTCTATTCTGTCTCAGTATCCAGGCTGGTGAATAATTCTGTTCACACCGTTTCAGTGAGGGACAACTTAAAGAAAGCAATTGGTGAGATCCATAATTTTGTTTTCCCTTCCATTCGGCATTACCTGCCAGTGGTGAAAAAAAGTACACATCACTCTCCTTAATGGGAGAATGAAGTATGGTTGGGTAAATGTAGATAGGTTTTTGGAACACCTGGTTTAGCTACCTGACAAACAGGACAACCAACAAGTTCCAGGCTCAGAGGTGATATGAACTTGCATTTTAAACCCAGTTTTAGCACTTTTTTTAAAAAAATGCTAAACTTACATAAGAGCTCACCAGCCAATAAGATGGCTCTGTGAAAGCCAGGTGTTTGGTCTTTCTCTAAGCCAAGTCAAAACACATGAAGGATA